CAGATGATGTTTGCTTTATCATCCTATATCTGAAACAGAGATTAATTCAGGGAATAGAATTGAGATTTGTCATTGCTGCTGTTTTGAAACCGTGAGCAATCCATAATCGATTAGGTTTCTCTTTCCTGCTTGCCTTGTGTTTCTTTTGCACTGAAATAAAGGGGGTGGAATAACGTATGGACAATGTAACTTGCGTAATTAATGGCATGCGTCATGTAATTCCACCACAGTGGACAGTGAGATGAGTAATGTTGGTTTTGGCAGAAGACAAATGGCAGAGGAAAGGGAATGTTGCTGCACCTGGAATACTGTGTCCAGTTCTGGGCGCCAAAATTTAAGAAGGATAAGGACAAGCTGGAACATGTGCAGAGGAGGGTAACCAAGATGATGAAGGGTCTGGAAATCAAGCCCAATGAGGAATGGTTGAGGGAACTGGTTATGTTTAGTCTAGCAAAGAGGAGACTAAAAGGAGATAGGATAAAGGTAAAGAGACCCCTGCCATTAGGTCCAATTGTGGCCAACTCTGGGGTTGCAGCACTCATCTTGCTTTATTGGCCAAGGGAGCCGGCGTACAGCTTCTGGGTCATGTGGCTAGCATGACTAAACTGCTTCTGGCGAACCAGAGCAGCGCACGGAAATGCAGTTTACCTTCCCGCCGGAGCGGTACCTATTTATCTACTTGCACTTTGATGTGCTTTCAAACTACTAGGTTGGCAGGAGCAGGGACCGAGCAACGGGAGCTCACCCTGTTGCGGGGATTCAAAGATGATCAAGTGTCTGGAAATCAAGCCCAATGAGGAATGGTTGAAGGAACTGGTTATGTTTAGTCTAGTAAAGAGGAAACTGGAAGGAGATAGCATAGCCATTGTCACATATCTAAACAGCTGTCACATGGAGGATGAGCAAGTTTGTTGTTTCCTGCTCCCGAGGCTAGGAGCTAAACCAATGGATTCAAGTTACAAGAAAGGAGTGTCTGGCTAAAGAGCAGCAATAACTTTATGACAGTAAGAGCTGTTCAAGAGTAGAACATACTCCCACAAGAGGTTGTGGACTCTCCTTCCTTGGAGGTTTTAAAGCAGAGGTTGGATGGCCATCTATCATGTATGATCTAGTTGACATTCCTGCATTGCAGGAGGTCGAACCACATGATCCTTGGGGTCCCTTCCAACTCTACAATTCTATGATTCCATGGAACACAGAGCAGAAATGGAAGCAATGCATCCTTACATTCTTGTTGCCAAGCAGAATAGATGTACTAATGAGAGGATTAAGTGCAAAGTAGCCACAAGTGCTCATGTAGAAGGTTCTGGGCAATTTAGTAGCAAGTCTGTTAATCCGTTGGCTGCCTATCTTGTGGGTTCATCCTACCCTCCAAGGCTGATGCGCTGAAGGCTTTGGAAGGCAAAATGTCTCATGGAGAATCACAAAGGAAGTACCGGCACATGCATGAAGCAAAGTGAGGTGTAGAGAGTCCTCTCAAAAGTGAAAGCACTGGTCAGCTAAACTGGTCAGCAAATCTTTAAGCACTTTTATTTATTTGTTTATTTTTAAAATGCTTATCTTGGCCACTTTCCCCTCTAATGTAGATCTTCATTTCCTGAGCTGGAGAGCTGATAAACAAGCTACAATTTTTTAGCTGCTCGAAACTATACCGCTGTCTTGTTTTTAACTGCCCCCATATTTTAAAAGAACTATCTGTTTTGTTTTGGGGGTTTTTTTGTTTTTGTTTTGTTTTTTGCCTTAAAAGAGAATGTTATGAAGATGGTCTATCGTTGGTATCTTACTCCCACCAAATTGGCAAAAATGTACAGAACTAGTAGTAAAACTTGCTGGAAATGCAAGGAAAAGGATGGCGACTTCTATCATATGTGGTGGTCATGTAATAAATTAAAAGAGTTCTGGGAATCGATTTATAACGAGTTAAAAAAGATGTTAAAGTATAGCTTTCCCAAAAAGCCGGAAGAATTCTTGCTAGGTTTGGTGGGAGAAGATATTAAGAAGATTGATTAAAGATTATATCTGTATGCAACAACAGCAGCTAGAGTTCTGATAGCTCAAAAGTGGAAGCAACAGGAGATGCCGACAATAGGAGAATGGCAGATAAAGCTGGTTGAATATGCTGAGATGGCTAAATTGACACACAGAATACGCAATCAGGAGGAGACAAAGTACCAAAAAGAATGGTGTAAATTTTTGATCTATATAAGTGAGAACTGTACAAATTTGAAAACTTTGGCAGGATTGAAGTAAATCTTATGTCATGTTGTAATATCTAATCAAAGAAACTGTGAACTATAGAATAGAATAGGAAAACTGATGGAAGGGAAGGACGGAAGTCAACAGCTCTACGGAGCATAAAGTAGGATATATGTAATAAGATTTGATGTTTTACTGGTGTTGGTGGGTGTTGGTGGGTGATCTTAAATCTCAATAAAAATTATTTATAAAAAAAATTTAAAAGAACTATCTGCAGCTACTACTTCAATTGCCTCGTTTTAGTTTGAATTGTATTGTGATTGTAGGCTATGATATGCAAGGTTCCTTGTGTGGGCTATGCATCTCCCCCAAAACATTGTGGCCTACATGCACATTTATAAATAGCGTTGCATGCGCCCTCATCCCAGAGCTGCGAGAGACTCCGTTGGTTCCAGCACTTAGCCAGGGTTCAGTTTCCTTGGAACGAAGGTTGATGGAGACTGTGATGCCTTTGGGGTATAGGGTTTTATTTACACACATATACGACCTGAATGTAGGGTAGAGGGGCTCACAGCATTAGCACACCACAGATCTTGCCTCCACAATAGGTTCCCAGGGACTTCCCACAGCTTTGGATTCAGCACAGAGCAAGGCAAGCTTCTGTGTCTCCAGTTTCCAGCACCACACACCCAAACTAGGTCCCCTGGCCTATTGTTCTCCTTCCTAGTATGATGTAGCATCCATTCAGGTCAGATGGGAAATGCCTACCCCATCCTGGAAGCATGTTCAGTTGTCCCCAATCTCTTCTTAGCTAACTCTTAGAGATGCTGACGAGGCCAGCCAAGGCCATTACCTTAACAAAAGAACTGGGTTGACTGGTTCACCAGGTTTCCACTCGTAGATGCTAAATTCACAAACACAAATTCACAGGACTGGAAGGGGCCCATGGAGATCATCCAGACTGACCCCCCCCAAAAAAAACCTCACCTATAATACTACATGTATTCAGTGTTCATCCTATTTAGAGTAAACCCATTGAAATTAGTGGGCCTGATTTATATGGGTAATAGGGCGGTTATATATATATATATATATATATATATATATATATATATATATGCCTGCTCCAACGGTCTTATCTTACTAAACTAGGTATTATATAGCTATATCTGAAATTTCATGAATATCAGTTAATATCTTGACCCTGCTCCACTGAACTGAAATTTCAGCTTTCACGACATAGGAAAATGGCCAAGTAAACAGCTATTTTCATGGAGGAGGGTCAATTTATTAACTGATATGCATGAAATTTCAGATATAGCTATATAATCCCTAGTTTAGTAAGATAAGACCGTTGGAGCAGGCATTTTTTTAAAAAAGCTGTGTTTTTTTTATAAACCGCCCTACTGAACACTAAATGCTTTTCAGTGGAGCAGGGTCAATATATTAACTGATATGCATGAAATTTCAGATATAGCTATATACCGGTAATCTCTAGTCTAGTAAGAGAAGACCTTTGGAGCAGGCTTTTTTAAAAATAAAAGTTTTTTATGAACCGCCCTAATGGGTACATTAATTCCAAGGCATCCACTCAAAGTAGAATTTAGATACTCATCCCATAAAGTGCTGAGGATGAACAAGAGTGTAGAATCATAGAATCATAGAATCATAGAATCATAGAATCATAGAGTTGGAAGAGACCACAAGGGCCATCGAGTCCAACCCCCTGCCAAGCAGGAAACACCATCAGAGCACTAGATTTTTATCTGTGTGTGTAAGAAGGAGGAGTGGTGGTGACTCCAAGTTTTCAGGAGTCCTTTGACAATACACCCTTAATGCCTGCCTCTCCTGAGTCTACCCTCTCACTGCCATTCTAGGCAGCTGCTCTTCTTTGGTATCACTGCCACTACACAGAAGTGGCAGCTACTTCTATTTCTCGCCACCACTGCTTGTTCATCTCATCTGGGGCCAGAGTGAGGGGCAGGTGAGCAGGCTTGTCACAATTGCAAAAAGGAGGAGCAAGTCCAGGGGGACTCTTGCCAAAGTTCTCTGGCCTCCACTAGTGTGCGGGCGCTCAGTGGCTGCCTGGCTGCAGTAGCATAGCATGGGTTGCCAGTGCCTGGGACCATGTGGAATTGAGGAAGGGAAATGGACACAGTATGCATGCACATTCAACTGCCTAATGACATCCGTGTCACCCAGGAGATCACAGCTGCAGAGATATGAAAAGAGAAGTCATTCCATTGTCTGGAGAGGTCACTTTCTGGTTCACATGGAAGAAGCCGTTTTCAGCTGAGCTCAGCGACTGAAGCACACAGCTGTATTGAGGCAGCACCGGGTGTTGAAATTTTGTACCCCTAAGAATTTTGCATCCGGGGCAACTACCCCAGTGCCCCCCGCCATGCTATATTGCTGTCTGGCTGTGTCAGTAGTTGCTACCAGTTCTGAAAAGTAGGAAGCTCTTTAGGAGAAGGAGGTAGAGGGAGTTAGTTGTAAAAAAAAAGGAAAATGATCAGGCGGCAAAGAGGAGTACAACGACTTGTTGCTGGTCCTTCCCTGAACTAGATCATTCCCACCAATGATTTTTTTTCCTGCTTTTTTTGGGTTTCAGGTGTGCCTCTTTCCAAGAAAGATGATTGGCATCAGTCTTCTAAGCAACTATCCACCTGGTGGCCTTCAAATGATCCACACACCACAAAGCATCAGTAGCTCAGGCCCTAGCATCTCTCACACAAGCTGCTACAGACCCTATCACAGTGGCAGCAGCTGCTACAGACCACAAGGTTATGGTTATGTCTCTGGCTATGGCGGAAGCTGCTATAACCCTTGTGGCTACAGCAGGCAATCCAGTTATGGAGGAAGCTGCTACAGACCACAAGGTTATGGTTACATCTCTGGCTATAGCGGAAGCCCTTGTGGCTACAGCAGGCAATCCAGTTATGGAGGAAGCTGCTACAGACCACAAGGTTATGGTTACATCTCTGGCTATAGCGGAAGCCCTTGTGGCTACAGCAGGCAATCCAGTTATGGAGGAAGCTGCTACAGACCACAAGGTTATGGTTACGTCTCTGGCTATGGCGGAAGCTGCTATAACCCTTGTGGCTACAGCAGGCAATCCAGTTATGGAGGAAGCTGCTACAGACCACAAGGTTATGGCTACGTCTCTGGCTCTGGCGGGAGCTGCTATGATCCTTGTGGCTATAGCTGCCAATCCAGTTATGGAGGAAGCTGCTACAGACCACAAGGTTATGGCTACGTCTCTGGCTCTGGCGGGAGCTGCTATGATCCTTGTGGCTACAGCTGCCAATCCAGTTATGGAGGAAGCTGCTATAGGCCACAAGGTTATGGTTACATCTCTGGGAAATCCTGCTATGGACCACGTGGCTATAAATCCCTCTCCGGTTATAGCGGAAGCTGCTATGAACCATGTGTCCATAGTCCCCTCTACAGTTACAGCAAAAGCTGCTCTGGGTCACATGGCTACGGTTACAGCTCTGGCTATGGCGGAAGCTGCTGCGACCCATGTTATGGCGGAAGCGGCTACAAGTCACAAGGTTGTGGTTACCTCTCAAGCCAAGGCAGCAGCAGCTGCTACAAGCCACGTAAATATAGCAGTGTCTGCGGTTATGGCGGAAGCTGCCACGAACCACGTGGTTATGGGTACCGCTGCGGTTACGGCGACAGTTCCTGCGACCCATGCTATGCTCCCAGCTGCCACCAGCCACGCTATGCCTACCGGCGCAGTTACAGCTGCCGATCCACTTCCAGTGACCCGTGTTACTAAGGCTCAGGATCATCATACCCATCCAGTCACTGGAGGCAAGACAGTGGCAGCTCTGTTGGTTGTGGACCATGCTAAACCCAGAAGAAAAAATAATCTCCAGGAAGACCAAGAAGACTCAAGATATTTGAAAGCACTGCTGAGCTTAGTACATATTGTTTCTTCTGAGAAATGCTCATCGCCTCCAAAACACACACGCACACCTACAATTACAGTTGGAGTGAACCCAAAGTTTTGATGTCTGGAACCTTTGAAAATTAAGTTTTTTGTTTCTCAAAGTTCTCGATCACGTAACTTTACAAATTGCTTTGCAAATCACTCCCCTTGGTGAGCCAAACTTTGTTATCTGTATGTCATTTTCCTGCATTCTTTTTATTCACACCCTGTCAGTAATGTTACGAGCAGCTACATTCTACATTCCACACCCTTGTTTCCAATAAAGCTTTGCATCGCATAAGATTGCTTGTCTTCTCTTGGGTCCTTTCAATCATGTGTGGGGATGAGATTAAGAAATGCCATCGACTTGTTTATGAATTAATAAAAAAGTTAATGCAGGGCACAGTTGAAGTATGGAATTCTCTCCCACAGGAGACAACGCTGGCCGCCATTTTGAATGGCTTTAAAAAAGCAGTAGAAAAAATAAAAATAAAGGAGAACAAGGCCATGCTCCACCTCCATAGTCAGAAGTAGTTTCCTTCTGAATACCAGTTTCTGGGGCTCACAGGTGAGGAGAGTTGTAGTCAGGGCTTCCCATTGGCATCTGGTTGGCAACTGCGAAAAGGGTGTGAGACTAGATGGACCGTTGACCTAAATCAGCAGGTTCTTATTTTTTCCCCCAATTTCAAAATGGGGATGAGTGGGATTTGCTTTAATTCACATTTCAATGTGTGCTTCCCAAATGAATACCTGAGCTAAAAGACACCTATAATTAAAAATTCACACTTCCACAAATTTGGTTGGCAATTTTAGTCCAAGCGCTCTCATGACAATCTTGCGATACTAAGGGTAGTAGACCAGTGGGGTCCTATGCCAAATCTGTAATTCAACAGAGGGGAGGTTAGCCTCTTAGTGCAATGAAGCATTTGGAACACAGGATGGAACAGGGGAAAAAATGCCTTAGGAATTTAGATTGAACAACTTCTGTAGATCCACGGTGAGTGTTTGGCCAAATCTGAGCCCCATATAATAACTAAGTTAGGGGTTTAGCTTTAAACACTTCAAGGGTGATGGTATGTGATTGACACCTCTTTAGAAGAAATGATCAGCAAAATGCTTAAGACTGATTGCCATAAGCTAAGTCATGCCCATTAACATTAAGGGTGCTATTCTGAGGATGGCAAAGATTATAGATAGATGATTAAGAAATTACTGAATTGAACTGAAAACTAGGAAAAAAAGAAACTGAAATGGACAGAGTGCTGTATACAACATTATTGCTACTGAGAGTAGACCCATGGAAAAGGATGGACTTGAATTTCAATGTGTCTACTCCAGGCATGGTCAAACTTGGCCCTCCAGCTGTTTTGGGACTACATCTCCCATCATCCCTAGCTATCAGCACCAGTGGTCAGGGGTGATGGGAATTGTAGTCCTAAAACAGCTGGAGGGCCAAGTTTGGCCATGCCTGGTCTACTCTGTGCAGGATGGAACTTGGATACAACCCAGATTCTCCCATGCACGGCAGAAGCAGCCAGAAGCAGCAAGAAGGACCTTTCCTGAAGAATCAGGCTAGAAGCAATTAATTTTGTTTCCTCCTGACCCATGACAAGCAACATGAAAGAAGCAAGCAGGGTGTTGTCCCTTCTATTACACCGAGATTGTGATCTGGCATTGTAAACAAAGAAGCCTGGGTAATTACAGGGATTTCAAAGCATGGCCCTTCTGACAGCCTTGGGTCACTGATGAATGAGCAGCTTCAACCACAGCTCATTCCTAGGTGTTTACCTTACAATGCTGGCATGGAGACTCCAAATAAAAAGGGGGCACCATTTTGGATTTAGGACAATGACGTCAAAGATTCCATGACCACGTGAAATTTCTCAATATGGAGTCAGACTATTGGTCCATCTAGAGCAGACCTGAGGCACCTGAGTTCTCCAGATGTTGGAAAATGCAAGTGGACGGATGGCATTTAAAATATACAACAGCTAGCTCATAAGGAGGAACGTCTTTCTCCTCCCCAATGGGAAGGGGAAGCTATTTAGATCAGGAGTGGGTAATCTGGTGCCCACTAGATGTTTTTCTTAGAATCTAAGAATCTAACTCCCATCAGCCCCAGCCAGCATCAGGGTTGTTGGAGACTGAAGTCCAGCAACATCTGGAGGGCCATAGCTTCCCCATCCTTGCCATAAACAGCTTATGGTGGGATTATTTAAAGGGCCACCTATGTCTATATGAATTTGTGTGGGCCCACAGGGATCTTTCTTATAGGCTTATCACTAGAATCCATCCAGTCCATGGTGGGCACAAGAGACATAACCTTTTCAGTGGTGGCCCCATCTCTATGGAACTCTCTCCAATGAAATATGGGTGTGTGTCCCTCTCCAGTTGTTTTTGAATAGGTCTTAAATACCTTGTTTCCCCATGCAATTCATATCCAAATATGGTTGCTGGTGTATACCAGTTCTGGAAAACCTATGGCCGTCCAGTTTTGATTGATTTCCCAACTCCCATCGGCCTCAGCAAGCGTGTCCAATGGCCAGAGATGGTGGGAGTTCTAGTTCAGCAACATCTGGAGAACCAAAATGTTCCCCACATCTGGTCTATACTTTTATGTGTTGCTGCCTTTACCTATGATATCATTGTGTTAGATGGTTAATGTCTTGAATTAGTTCTGATGGTTGCCTCTGTGAAGAGCCTTGAGAGGATTTTTGACCCTAAAAGAGATAATAGAAATACAGAAGTACAGAAATAAAGAAGCTGGAATTCTAGAATAATTTTTGCATGTATTGAGGAAAAGGTTAGGGGGGTATGATATTTCCATTTGTACTGCTCAGGGTATAAGGCAGGTTTGGGGAACCTTTCGCCATCCAGATGCTATCACTCCCATCTGCTCTAGAAATCACTGCTAATGGCCAGGGATGATGAGAACTGTTGTTTAACAACATCTAAAGGGCTCAAAATTCCCCGAGCCTGTTATAAGCAATGGTTATAAGGTCTGCACCAGATTGACACCAAAGAATCACCTTTCCTCTTAAAGAGTTTATCAAAAGCAGAAGACCATTCAAGGAACTGCTGCGTTTTGGATCAGTTGAAGTTCCTAAGTTGTTTTTGAGGACAGTCCCACACAGAGCACATTGCAATAATCCAGTCTGGATTATTTTGAGGGCAGTTAGAGAAATTTCAGATAGAATCTCTTAGTGATTTCATGCGACTTTATCCATTTCCACTGGTCTTAGTGCATCAAGCATGGGTGTTCCCAAGTCGCAGTTGCTAAGCCTCTATTGAAAGCACAAAATTAGTGTGTTTCAGAGGAGTTCACCTGCATTGTCTCATCTGGGGGGGAAACTGCTCGGAGAAGCTCAGCTGCCTTTGCAATTACTTCTAACTGCTGTAATTATGCTTATTAAAAATCCCAGTTTCTTTGTTTGAGTCGGTTCCTCCCCTGCTCCCACCCCAATGCAAGCTACCTGGAGAAGTAGTTTCACACCATGACTCTCTTGTAGAACATGTCTCTGTGTCAGCGTCATAAGACACATAAACCTCCTGAGGATTTCTGCTTGGGTTTTTTTGTTTTTTGTTTGCAAGCTAATCAAACAACACTATTGGTTTCTCAAAAGGCTGAAGGGGTAACTAAAGCCCAGAGCTGTTTTTTTAAATGAAGTTAAAGCTGTAAAAATGTCCGCTTTGATGACACAGTTTCAAAGCCTGCATGGGTCCAGTTTTAAAGCACCTGACTTGCATGCAGAAGGTCCCTGGCGTCTCCAGGTCTGGTTGGGAATGTATCCAATCTGAAACCCTGGTGAGTTGCTGTTGGCCAATACAGACCGAGCTAGATGAACCAATAATCTGACTTTGTATAAGGCAACTCCCTAAATTTCTCTTTAAGTCAACCCTTCATCCAGAACCCTGGGGGATGGAATCTTACTGTATTTCTAGGGGAAGGAGCATTTTCCATGGGGTAGAACACATGCTTCACCAGCAGAAGTCTCCAAGCCAGGTCAAATCCCCTGTAGGGTATCTCCAGGCAGGGCTAAGGATGTCTCCATTCTGAAACCTGGAGAGCAGCTGTTGGACAGTGTTGGCAATACACATTGGATGGACCAATGGGCCTAAGAAGGCAGCTTGTGTCGGCTTCTTACCCAAAGTTCACCTAGCTAGAAGGACATAATCTCTTCCCCATCTTTTACTGGGGAGCCACTACTTGCCCAGGGGTCTAGGCATGAATCCTCACCTGCCTGTACTTTTTAAAATGGGTTAAAGTTGGTTAGCAGTTCCTCCAATTATATATCAATAAATAAAACCATTTCCCCAATGCTTGGGACTCATGAGTCTGCTTTGCAGGTGTGTGGGCAGTAGGCCTTCGGTTTTACCCAGTGGAATTTTGGGGGAACAGGGAATTCCATATGTCAGCCTTGAACTGGTGGCCTTCCCTTCACTAGCCTTGGGCTTCGCTTGCCTACCATCTTCGTCAGGAGATAATGACCCCATCTGGGAGAGGTTTCAATTTCTTATTCTTTAGAACAAAGGAATCCCATGAAGCTTCACAAACACTCATTAAGGTTACACACATGCAAAGTGGTGCATTATATGGTGAGAGAGATTGGGGCCACACCTTCCTGCTGCATTGCTCAATATGCCCCATTTTACAATATTTTATAGAGTAATCCTATATTCATATACTGAGTAAGTTTAATTGGACTTCCTCCTAGTTGACTATAGCTTGGTTTGTTTTGTTATTTTTTTGTTCTCGTTTTAAGTATGTGTTTTGGGTTTTTAAATTACATTTTTATGCTGTGAACCACCCTGAGATCTATGGATGAAGGGCGGTATACAAATTTTAAAAATAATGAACAAAGGTATGGAATAGGAGGTTCCCATTTCATCGGAGCAATGTTGGAGGGTATGGGCTCAGGACACATGGCTGTATTGCTTTCAGGGATCTGCAGCAGAATACACAGTTAGCTGCCCTCATACTTCTTTGTGTCAATGGAGCCCTCAGAACCCAGGAAAGTGTCCTAGCCCAAGTCTCTGCAAACTGGGGGTGGCTAACCCATGTGCCTCTAGATGTTGCTGAGC